AGGGAGAGGGAGAGGGAGAGGGAGAGGGAGGGAGAGAGAGAGGGGGGGAGGGAAAGAGTGACTGGCTCAAAGTCACCCAATCACCATTCATGGCTTAGGTGGAACTAGACCTCACAGACTTCTGATTTCTAACCTGGTGTCTAATTTCTTTACCCACCCATTTCCACACACAACTATCTAATCTAAAGGCCATGACACGAATTCAAATGACTCTTTACTGTCTATACTGACTTTTGGAAGGGTCCCAAAGACCTGGATTTTTGTTCAGGCCTTTAGCGAAGACAACTGACATACTTTTTTTTTTGTCCCCCAGTTTTCTTTATTAATGTTGTTCTTTTATCTTGTGTTGTTATTGCATTTTGTATTATTCTAGGTTTTTTTATTTTATTTTTAAAAAGCTAATAATTGTTAACTGGGAGTCATTGGGAGTCAGGCAGCATTTAATAAATTTAATAAATGATAATAGCCCAGTTCCTTGGGAAGGATTTGATAAGTGGATAAAACTGCCAAATCCAGTTTGGTGACTGTGCAACAAGCCACAATAAGAATACAGCAAAAGAAAAAGAAAAAAAGAACTAGAGAAGATAACAAAATACAAAGACCTGAAAATAGAAATAGAACAACTGTGGCAAAAGAAAGCAAAGATAGTACCAATAGTGGTAGGTGTCTTAGGTGCAAAATGTCTATGGAGATTCTCAGTCATCCAAGTCATAGTTGAACAATAGGAGAACAAACCCATCAGGACAAGATTCAGCAGTCCATCTGCATTTAAAAGACAAAGGCCACTCTTTTGAGGACAGCAAAGACCACATTTTGTACAGAGAGGAGCACTATTTTCAAAGAGAAGTCAAAGAAGCCATCTATGTCAAAACTGAACAGCCCTCTCTCAGCAAAGAGAGTTATTTACAACATACTCCTTTCAGCAGTTCCAAGAAGGCTCCACACCAGTGTTGGGTTCTAGACTCCATCGCAACCGGTATCTGATGTGGTATGCTGCATCCTAGTCGGGCATGTGCATTGCACACACATGTGCACTCCACCACCCTGCAACACCTAGCTGCTCAGCGGAGGTCACGCAGGTGCCGCACGCTGTGCGCACATGCGTAATTGGCCTGGTTGCTTCAAAAACAGCTATGGAACGTGGGTGGACCAAACAAGCCACTGTACCAGTACGGTGGCTGCTGCTCCCGGCTACTACCAGTATGGCCATACTGGGCCATACCATCCAGAACACACCACTGCTCCACACCCATTTGCATTACTCAGGTGAGTCTGATGACACAGATAAATCTCCAGGAGACCTCAATGACTCTCTAAAAGAATGCAAATGATCAGCTATCTGCAAAGAGAATAAATCCTTCCATTCCCTACCATCCAGTCAGAGGTGAAGAAGGTTCTTGGATAAAAGCAAAACATCTTCAAAGAAAAACAAGAAAGTTCACTTGTGTCTTGAAAAAGCACTTTTGGGACTTGGATGCAATACAAAAACAACTGGAGAAGAACCTGAACACATTGGCATTGACAAAATCACCATCAGTCAATTGTGAAAGACAGATGGAACACACAGCATCGTGTGATGATCCCTACATCATCATCAAACAATAACATCTGCCTAACCAAGGTTCAACAAGTGGATAAAAACTTCAAATCCCAATCTAAATATCTGACTGATTGTGTCACCAACCATAATAATTGATTGTTCTAAAATTAAGAACCAAGTTACTGAGTAGCTGAAAGGCACTTATATGTAAATACCAGTTAGGAAGATAGCAGTATTAATAAAGTTAAACTGACAGAAAGAAAGGATTCCCAAAAATACGCTTGGTGATCCTTCTATATATAAATTTAATTTAAAAACTTAAAACTATATCCTTGAAAAGACATTTTATATTCAGAAAAGGGGAACGGGACATGACATTTTGATAGATGAACTCTAACAATAATAATGTAACAGAACAAATTCAAGCATATATACAATTTTGTATGATGGATGAGTCTTCCTTGTTGATGACAGGTTGAAGGAAAGCTGAATTGGTGAAATGCTCAGTTTCAATAAACAGGTAAATTGTTAAGTAACCCCTGTCTGTCTGTGATGCCCTTTTGTCTGAAATGGAGCTGTTCATGGACATCCTCAGTCATCTATTTAATCTGTTGGAAGAAATAGGAGCTTGTGACAACAAGCACCATTTTCAATTTGCTAAGAGCTTTATGCACTTCAACCTTTTATAGCCATTTCTAGGGTACAATAAGATTTCCGTCAGGGCAGACACATTTTGTTATTACACAGGTTGTACAAACAGTAAGTAACATTCCATAAAGCTATTCATTATTGATATGAGTTACTGACTATATATGATCTCTCCAGTGGTGGGTTTCAATTTTTTTTAGAACCTCTTCTGTAGGTGTGGCCTGCTTTGTGGGAGTGGCTTGCCTACCATGTGACCGGGTGGAGTGGCTTGGCAGTCATGTGACTGGGTGTGCGTGGCCAACTTGTAAAATGTGGTGAAACTCACTTAACAACGCTCGTGCTTAGCAACCAAAATGTGGGCTCAGAAACTCTGGCATTTGAAGCACGCAAGTCTTAAAGCTGTCAAGTTACAAGACCCTTGCACCCTAACACTTTAGAAAAAAAATTCCAAGGTTGTTCAAACTTGACAGTTTTAAGATTTTAAGGTTTAGATAGAACTCTTAGAGGCGAGCGGAGCGATTGGTGAGCCAGCCAATCAGTGAGCAGCGGGCGGGGCAAGCGTGGTGCAGACGGGCAGGGGGAGGGAGCTGGAACCAGTTCTAAATGGCGCGGTAGGTTTGTGGAACCTCTTCTATAGAAGAGGTTAGAACTGGAAGGAACCCACCCCTAGATCTCTCCCACACACAAAAATAAAGCACAGAAATAAATGTCTGCCTTACCAACCATTTCCAAACAATCACATATACCAGGGCTCCCCAACCCCAGGTCCATGGATCAGTACTGGTCCATGGCATGCCAGGAACTTGGCTGTACAAACAAGCACAGTTCCATCTGTGGAATGCAGGCAGCACACAAAACCATGCCCCCTACATCCACTGAAAAACCTTTATCCATAGAACCATATCTGGGATGTGGCAATCCATCCATATCCTGCCTTTCCCAGCACAATACTATCTCACTTACTTATGTATACATTATGTATATTCTTATGTTCTTAATCCATAAGAATGTTAATATTGAAGAAATTGACATATCCAAAAGCTATGGCCAAAGCTTAATAGCCTACATACATTAGGACCTTGGATATTCATAAGGTAAAGGTAAAGGTTCACCTCGCACTTATGTGCTAGTCATTCTTGACTCTAGAGGGCGGTGCTCATCTCCGTTTCAAAGCCGAAGAGCAAGCACTGTCCGAAGACGTCTCCGTGGTCATGTGACTGGCATGACTAAATAGGTGGGAAGGAACACTATTACCTTCCCACCAAAGGTGGTTCCTATTTTTCTACTTGCATTTTTACGTGCTTTCAAACTGCTGGGTTGGCAGAAGCTGGGACAAGTAACGGGAGCTCATTCTGTTATGTGGCACTAGGGATTCGAACTGCCGAACTGCTGACCTTTCTGATTGACAAGCTCAGCATCTTAGCCACTGAGCCACCGCATCTCTCCTTGGATAGTCATACTGAATCATAAATCAACATGGATCATTTTATAATATTTTTAAATTGAATTAAATTTCCTTCTACATTACATCTTAAAAACTGGTTAGCAAAAGTATTATGCTTTAAAGTTCCCCCCAACTTTTTTTTTTACTCATTTATCTTACTATCATTACACAGTGTATTTGGATGGGGTTTTTTTTTGGGGGGGGGGTGTTGTTTCTCATTTCTTTCATGAACAAATGAATGATCTTTGTCATTTATTCCACTTATTTCAAATTGCAATCTTCTATATGCCATTTTTGTTACTAGAGGAGCCATACATATTGAATAATAATATATTATTCATAAAACGTACCATATGATATGGAAGAGTAGATTAGATAAGAATAGTTATTAGCATCCACATTATTTATGCCTTTTTATAGCAGCAATTAATTTTTATTCATTTACCCAGCATCTGATCAGCTCAACTAAAGACCAACATGATCATGTATTCTATACTACTTATACCATACTATCATGTATAACCTAGAGACTACCTTGCAAACTGATATACTGTACAATTAATCATATTGATTTATTATCTGACAGAATAGTATAGATCTGCTGATAACACAAAGGTCTAAAACAAATGGAGAGGCCTCTAACAGCTTATCTCAAAAAGAGGCAACTGACATGAAAATGGATTTCACAGATGGCAAGTGATACTGGGAACAAATTCATTCAGGGAATAAAAATATCAAAATAATAATGGAAATGTTTCTGAAGCAGAAGCCAGTACAAATAAGAAACTTGTAAGACAGAAAATAACATATTACTTAAAATTACCTGGTAGTAAAATATTAGCATAACACATGAATTTGCATGCACTTTTTTTTTTTTACTGAATGTCTATCTTAGTGGTGTAATTGCTTACAGTAATTGGTGATTACTGAAAATAATTGGTCAGAAATAGGCCAACTATTTCAGACATAATATATATTTATATACTAAGTATATAATTACAGTATATTATCAAATTATTCTATTATTAGCAAAAAATACATAAGCAAAAAATTATATATTATTCCTGACAAACTCATTTCACGAGATGGGCATGACATACATTTAGTAAATAAATAAATAAAAAATAAATATTTAAAGGTAAATTTAGAAATTAAAATTGAAGATTTTTCCAAGAACTCATTTATTTATTAGCAAGCACTATTTGTAATGCCTTGGCTTAAAATATATATGAAATTAGACCACAGGGGTAAAAAAAAAGCAAAATATTTTCTAAGCTGCCATTAATTAAACAGGTTAGAACGATAAATAGGAAAGATTAGCGAAGGTATCTGAAGGATATCAAGAGATTAACATGTTCATTTTGTTCCTAAAAGACTGAAATTTCTTGTTGGGATACCAGTAACCTTATAAAGATATGGTAACAACTTGCTTTCAGGAATTGTGGTAGTTCCATAAATAGATAAATAGCCTTTGCGTTGAAGTCCTTTCTCACTCAAAAGTAAAAAGTATATGGACCTGAGGATGTATATACAAGCACCCCTGTTTATGAATGTATAGTTAGTTATGTAGACCTTCTTTTCAGTTCAACACTAAAAACTGGAAGTGGGTAAGCAAATATATATTTAAATGAATCCATCTACAAATATCTACAATGGGAAATGATACTCTTATTAGCTGAGGTAGGCATCACATACTGTAACAACCGGCTCACCCAGAATAAAAAATGTGAGCATGCAAGTGCCTTCCACAAATGTGCGCTGCATGGTAAAAATAGTGATTATATAGGATAGCACCAGGGTCGGAACTACCGGTTCTCCTGAACTGGTCCAAACCGGCAGCATCCCACCTCTGCCTGTTAGGTTGCCAGTATTGGGATGTTTATAACGGTGTTCAGTTAATCATAATATCTCAGTATTCAAAACACAAAGATCTGCAGAGAAAGATCATCTTTAATTATCATTTGAATCATCAACTGCTAACTCCACTATTAACCTATATATTTGTAGACATTAAAAGAAAACTACCATTCAAGAAGATCTTTTTTTTAGTTACTGCATCCATGTAGTAAACTTCACTCCCTTTCCCCCAATTCTAAGTAAAAATAACATTTTCAATGCTATTTAATTTCCCCTTTTAATGGCCAGCCTTTGTTCATACATAACTTATTCCTGTATTCATGCATAACTTACTGCTAATACAGCAGCCACCATGTTTTGGGCACCAGGACTGGTTCTGTGGAGAGATGTTTTTCTGAGGACTGGAGGGGCGTGTGCTGCCTGCATCCGATGGGCCTTTGCTTTTTTGTATGGCCAAGTTTCTGGCATGCTGTAGACTGGTGCCGGTCCATGGACCAGGGACCCCTGTGCTAATAGTTTCACCATACTTTCCTACTTGTTCATGCTTTGCCATGTATACCAGTAGGTGTTCTTTTTTTCTCCTTACAGATTATTCTGTTTTGCTTCTTTTTTCAGGTTTTATTTTGGAACTCAACTCTTTTTTTTTGAGTGGGAGAGTATTGACCCTTGGGTCTTATCTGTTTAAAGAGAAAAGTCTTGGGTCACAGAGATACTTTCTCTATCTTCTTAATGTCTAGTCACAAGACAGCAAAGAAAAAATGATTGGCCATCTTCAGCCCACAGAATAGTTTTACAAACCTAAAAACAGATTTGAACATAGACTGGTACACTGAGCCCAACAGAGAAAGGTATTGTTTGTGAAACAGTCCATGCATGGGTAAGATATATAGATAAAAATCTTGTGATGAAGCTTTTACTTTCTTTTTGGAACAACTTATTGACGTTAATGTCATGAACTATTATGGATTAAGTATCACCTAATGTGAATTATTAGGCCCAGTTTAATGTACTAGTTATCAGCTAATTTGCTATTTATCACAAATTAAATAAAATGTATTTCATTGCCTTCCAGAAATAATAAAATTGGTTCACAGTAGTTTGATTTCTATTAAGTTATGTTGTCATTCCCTAAAGATATTCTCCATATAGATTTCCTTGTTCCACAAAAATCCTTTAAATAAACTTGTAAACTGGTAGAGATCAGATTTCTATAATGTGAAAAGAAAACGTATCCCTTCTATACCTGTTCTGCATTGTTAGAACTGTTTTTTTTTAACATTAATCCTGGAAGGGGGATGAATAATTAGCAGCTATAAGCAGTCCTGTAAAAGGCACAACCTCCTCACTAATTTGTGATTATTGCTATGTTCCAAAAGGAAAGGTGACAATGAGGCACCCATGATATGCCCCAAATCTCCCCAAAGAATCCAATAAAAATAAATAATAAAAACAATATAAATTTCACAGCATTGAAAATGTCCCAAAATTTTCATGAGAAAATAATAAAGCCTTGAGAAGCATTGGTGATCTTGTGTAAGATCTCAGGAATCCAAAAATATACAATAACTGTGTAAGTTGGAAAAGATTTCCAATTTTGATTCAAATTATATTTCTTCCTAGTGACCCAAAAGTGTTTTTTTCAAAAGATGACTGGACTTTGTTTTTCCTGGAAGACTGAATCTTTTTCACTGAAGATTATTCTTGGATAAGAAGTAAAATGTCACGAAAAACAAAGTCCAGTGGTTTTTTGAAAAGCACCTTTGGGACAACCATGACCTAGATGACTGAGAATCTCTATAGACATTCTACTTTATGAGCAGGAATTAGATATGGTCGCTGCATGTTTAAGTCAGGGCTTTATTTGGACCCGCTGATAATTTTGTCCTTGGGTTTTTCACTAAAAAGACTTCCGTTCACAACTTTTCAATCCTAATCTTACTGGTGAAAAAAAGACAAAAAATGACTTCTTCACATTTTCTTTAATAATATACAGTTACTTTCTCTCATTCTATCCTAAAGTTGCTAGCTGCATACTGTTTTTTTCTCCTGTACATTATAAAATGTATATCACCCTACTATTATTACTGATAAATTGAAATGAGTAGTTTTTGTTTCTTATTCCTTCCTGGTCAAATCCAATTTAACTAGACGGGATAGGCAGCACAGAAATCAAACAAACAAACACATAGGGAGCAATTGATTTGAACTTGAAAACGTCAAAGTTACATTTGATATGTAAACCAATTCTCCACCTTTGTAGTAAGGTAAAGGTAAAGGTTCCCTCACACATATATGCTAGTCATTCCCAACTCTAGGGAGCGGTGTTCATCTCTGTTTCAAAGCCGAAGAGCCAACGCTGTCCAAAGACGTCTCTGTGGTCATGTGGACGGTATGACAAAACCTTGCCACCAAAGGTGGTTCATATTTTTATACTTGCATTTTTTTAACATACTTTCAAACTGCTAGGTTGACAGAAGCTGGGACAAGTAACGGGAGCTCATTCCTTTATGTGGTGCTAGGGATTCAAACCGCCGAACTGTTGACATTTCTGATCGACAAGCTCAGCGTCTTAGCCACTGAGCTCTGATCAACAAGCTCAAGGTCTTAGCCACTGAGCCACCCTTTGTAGTACAAGAGCTTTTTCTCTTCAAAACATTCAAATCCATATTTTTAGACAAGAACCAATTTCTTGTCTTTCACTAAGCAGCAGAACTATATTTTTCAAAGTGTTAAGAAATTACAAATTAAAGGATCACAGTTTTGCTTTCATACCTGTAAGTGATATATTTGTGTTGCCACTTCTGCCCTGTTAATGCATATCGCTTTCGACGAATGTTAAATCTGGAGTTGCCTCTCATCTGATCAGGAACTCCACAACGAGGCTTCTTCATCCAGCTTTAAATGAACAAAAAAAAAACCAAATCAGTACCATATGATGACAATAAGTGTAGAGTATCATGTCGATGCATCTGATAGTATCACAGATGTGACACGACTATAATCTCTCTTCTTCAAAATGGTTAAACATTGCTTTTTACATTTCTAGTTTCTCAATCTTGACAACTTTAAAATGTGTGGACTTCAACTCCCAGATTTGAGAAACACTGAAATACAATATACAAGTGGTCCACCACCTACAACCACAATTGAGCCCAACCTTTATGTTGTTAAGCAAATCTTCATTGACTTTTCCTGTTGGAAATCAATTGGGGAGGTCACATGACCCAGGACAGTGGAGCTGTCATAAATACATGCCAATTGCCAATTGCCTGAATTTTGATTACATGACCATGGAGATGCTGTAATGGTTATAAGTGTGTAAACCAATCATTAATCACTATTTTCAGTGCTGCTATAACTTTGAATAGTCACCAAACAAATGGTTGTATTTGAGTACTACCTCTAATTCCTGGGTAACATTATTAAACAGCAAACCTTCATAGAATTTCCAAATAAAGAAATGATATGGGGCAAACACGTTGGTAGATACAGCTGGTTTGACTGATGTTTGTTTAATTATTTGCTGGGGATTATGCACTGTTGTAACCTAACAGGACATGCATTGCCACTTGTTCACACTGATTTTGTACCATTAACTGAAAATCTTATAGCAAATTGAGTTTGTCGAACTAGTTTGTGAAAGAAAGAATTGGGTCCCTGAATAAAGTTTCATTAAATTGTCCTTCAGTCTCAAAACTAATAGTTTGTGGGAGCAGGAGCAGGATACAGCAACAGCATGAATGGCTTAAATTATCAAGTGAAGCCTCTGGTAATTGAAATTGCTCATTGAAACAAAGGAAACTACCTTTTTTTCTTATTCATTCCCTTCATCAATCTAACTCAATGCTGTTGTTTTTTACCGGCTTCCAAACAGGAATCTACACCTACAAGCCATGCCCAGAGATAGCAAGACAATGAACCTGGCTTTTGCATGCAAGCCATGTGTTGTGTCTCTGAGCTATCACCCTTCGGAACCTCACATTATGAGATATAATGCAGATTGTAAGGATGAATTAAATCTATATTATTGTTCCATGAGATGCCTCTGCCTGGCCTTCCAATCTGCTGCTCTACCTTGGTGCATCTCTACAACTGCTTCTGGGCAGCTTGCCATATTTCTTTCACTCTCTCCCTCTCTCCCTCCCACCTTTCCTTATAAATGCTAGCATGGAGTGCACACAATATTAATAGGGTTCTGGGTACCTTCTCCCTGTATTATTATTATCCATGAGCTCTTGATATGATATGCATTGGCAACATCTGGAAAACAGAGGCTGAAAAATCCAATATATATTTGGTTCATCACAAAATTAAATCTGGAAGGAAAGCACATAATTGGAAGCTCACAGATTCTGGGAGCATATTCAAAAGTGGACAATCTTATCAGTATCACTTGTGTACTATTATTTTTCCTCATCAGTTTGAAATTTCAGTTTAACCTAATAAATACTGTTCATTATTGCCAGGCAATCATTACTATTAAGATGTCCTGCTTTTCAATCCACCATTTCATTACATTATAAACATCATTATTACTATATTTCTATAATTGTAGCTGATTACATCTATTTCCCAGTGTTGCATTAAAATTGTGCTACTGAAATTAAAGTGGCTGGGTTACTCATATTTTGCTATGTTTATGGAGCTGTTCTCAACTTCCAGTGCTGGAATACTGCAATACAAAATAAAAATAAATGAAATTTTATGTCTAACTTCGTGTGTTGGATAAAATTCGTGCAGAATGAAGTCACAGAACTAATCTCTTATGATTCAAATATGGCAAAGTTTGTGCTGGACTGATAGTACTTTGTTTGGTGTTCCTTATTTTTACAGCTTTTGCCACCTAATGTTATGGTTATTTCTTCTGAAGATCAAAAATATTGTATTTATTTCTATCTTTTCCACTTTATACTAACTGTACTTATGAATAAACAGCTTAGTGGAATAAAGCATAATAACTGCAATGTCCTCTTTAAAAAAAAGGGAAATACCCAAATGATAACCTTTGGCCACACAACAGCTCTATGTCAGTGATGGGTTCTGGAGCCTGTTCCAACCGGTACAGTTGGAACGGGCCCTGCGTCATCCATATGGATGTGCGCAGTGTGCACGTGCATCTTACTGTTCAGTGATGCCTCCGTGACACTCTAGCTGCTCAGCAGAGCATCGCATAGGCACTGTATGTGCTACGCATGTGCATGTAAGGGCCAAAGACTTTAAAGACAGGTAAGGAGTGAGGGCAGGTGGGTGGACCCTCTGGAGCACCATACAGGAACAGTACCCGGTGCTCCGGGCAGGCTCTGGTATGCCCGCACAAGATGTACCACCTGCAACCCACCACTGCTCTATGTACATGAAAAATGACTGAAGGATCACATCATAGTAAAATGACTGTTAAGACACATACATGACATGAAGCATAACCCATAATCTTATGAAAAGAAAGTAAAGTTTATCTGAAATGGACATCTTGTGGTTTAATTAGAAAAATGTACAAGGCAATTGTTCTTCAAAGAAGTCAAACTAAGTGCTATGTTAGTATATGGATAGTTTCTGACAACTGAATAAATTACAAGGACAGAATAGACAAAACAATTTTTAAAAATCTGGTTTTGCTACACAAACAGGTTCTCTATTAAAGCTGTAGTTTAGTGCTAAATATGGCAGAAAATATATTGTTTTGGTGCAAGCCAAATGAGTGATTTAGATAGAAGTTCCACATATTATTTTAAATGGGACACAAATATCTATATTTTATATAATTCCTAGGAAATTATAGGGTTAATATTATTAAATTCCTAGGGATATTACAACAACCACTAGACTTTTATTAATTTTGATTTAAAGTGTATGGCTTTAAACTTAACATACAATGAGTTCAAGACACCAAGGTTCCCCAAACTTTAAGCTCTGTCCCCCTCTAAAATCAATAGTCTCCTCCACATTGTACTCTCCATTCAGCACAGACAGATCAGAGGAAGAGATTCGTTATCAAATAAAAAATGTCCCAAATCGATCCAATCATTTCCAAGTATTTGAGTATACTTAAAGAGGCTTCATAGGATAGTAGTCCCCATGCCATAAAATAGTCACTAAATATAATCAGCTGTGAACAGAAATCCTAACTATCATTTATTCTTGTCCAACAAACGCTTTTAGCTCGATGTAGTGAAATAGATAAAAAGTCTCTTGGAGTTACCACAAAAGAAACTATAGGCTTATTGAGATAAGAGCAGGTTTCCAATTTAAAATGAATGCTTCCTTACTCCCACCTACTCCCCAAAAAACACATTTATGTGTTTAGGAAAACAGATCTTTTCTTCCACAAACAATAGTTTGCACATTTCACAGTAATAGCTATGTCCAGCTTCAATCAAATTCAGGAACACAAATTCAGGTTTCTGTTTTAAGTATTAATTTTCAAAGCAGGGAACCTCAGTGAATGGCTTTAATAAGTATTTAAATGCAACATGGATCTGCTTCTCTAATACTTTTTAGAGACTCAGTAACATTCTCATATGTGGGATATCCCAGACAGGTGAAAAACACACAAAAATTATATCTGTTCTCACATTTTAATGAAAAATAACTCCTAAGAAACCATTTGTTCTGAACCAGACTTAAATTTTAATCAATGTCAAAATAAGTAGCATAAATAAGGGAGGAGCCTCTAACTACCCTTCCAGAAGATGGTAAGAGCTATTTGTAGAAGATAGATGTAGATGGATAGATGGATGGATGTATGGATGTATGGATGTATGGATGTATGGATGTATGGATGGATGGATGGATGGATGGATGGATGGATGGATGGATGGATGGATGGATGGAGATGGAGACAAATAATTCAAATGGTGGACATACAGTTTAACACACAAAATACAGAAAATGTAGAGTGTAAGAGAATTTCAGTTACCTGGTTCTCAAAAGTATATATGTGCATTAGTTAAGCTAAAGTAGCTATCTACTTTGAGTACAAAGGTTCACTCATGAAATATGACTACATTATCAATAAGAGGACATATGAAAACGGGAAACTTTCTTTTAACTCCTTGTGACTTATTTGGAGATTGGAGGTGCATACACACATTTGGAAAATAAACAGCAGAACGGGATCAAAAAAATGGACGCCTACAATGGAGTTGGGTAAATTTAAAGCTTTGTATCTGCTAAATAGAAGATGTATCTTGGATAGATGGGTGGAGCAACATTACAATTGATTTCTGTTGATTTTCTTTCTGTGGCTGCACATGGAGAACTGCAGCCCATTAAAGAGAACATGGCCTTGTGGTGTATTACTTTTTGATGATTTGAAACACATTGTTTGATGGCCATCTTCCCAATGTAATCAGCAGATCTGACAAAATCTGGCAGTAATCTTTCTGTCAGCTAAAGCTCTGAACAAGAATAAATTAATCATTTGATTTAACTGATTCTTTAAACCTGCAAATTTAAATGTCTAAATTTCGGCTAATACAATTTGAATATTTTGAACACAAAAATATACACACAATATATGGTTTTTAGACAATAATTATAGATGAAATATATATCTATATATCCTAGCTAGAATTTTCATAATTGAAAGAAAATACAGCTTAAGTGATAACAGAATTTGTTGGTTCTTTTTTGGCAGTTTCTGTAAAAAAAAATAATCTTTTCCATTTACTGTACAAATGTACGATACACAGCTACTTGTGTATACAAATTATCTTTAAATTGCAATTTATCTTTAAAATATACAAAGTCCATAATTTTCCAGTCACTGATAGTTCAAAGTGAACAAATGTCAGAATAGCATGCAATTTCCATGCATTTAAACTACAGATACATAACACCAACAAGAAGCAGTTAAACACACTATAGTTACCAAATAGAAAAGATGGATGCTCTCACCTTAAGGTGATATCTCTACATCAAACGAAAGAGGCAAGGGATTTAAAAGAAGAGAGAACTATTATCTTATGTAAGATGTATTCTAAACACCAATATTAAACAATACTTTAACAATGTCATGACCAAGTGCTTATTCCGAGGGTCAAAAGAAAATAAGACTCTTATTTTTGGGAAAACACAGTAGAACATCTATTCCAAAGCGTTGGGGTATTTTTGTGAGTATGCGTTACTTATTTATTTATTTACTTATTAACTTACTTATTTACTTACCAATCTTACTAATATAGCAACTTTGGGTGGCTAATTCAAAAATTGGAACTCATATAACTGGTGGCTTAGTACATAGCTAAGAAAGAACTTATTTCAGTCACAATTAAAGATGATAGGAAGATTGAAACTATTCTTGAGGCGGTATAATTATAAAAATCATTTATAGCTATATAATATTGAACAAGAGTTCAATCAGAAAAATCAAACAGTGTTTAAACAAAACAAATTTATAGGCAGGAAGTAATTTTAATTCAGAAGCCGAGTGACATTTTTATTTCAAAAAAAAATATGACCATCTATCTTATACATAATTGAGGAATCATAACATTCCATAAAAACGACGGAAAAAATCTACATTATCAATCTATCACCCTTCCCCCTCAGTGCCACAATATTCCAATGGCATATGCTGGGGTCACTTCCAGCCTAACCCAGGGCTTGGATGAAGAGCCAAGTCTTCACAGCTTTCCAGAAAGCTAAGTGGGGACCTCAAATTCTCTGGGGAAAAAGCTATTCCAAAGAGGCTGCTATGGAGAGGACATAGAAGCAAAATCCTATACTTGAATGGGAATTGCAATGTATGGAATCTTAAATATAAGCCTCACACATGAAAAGGTTATTAGAAACTATATTTTAGCATTGATATGATTTGTTGCATCTGTCTTTCAACTGTCCAGTCTTACAAACTGAATTCCACTCCCAGGTTTTGGAATGTGAAAGATGCATCAAAAATCTTATTATGTAATTGCAGTCTCCCATCACAGCACTGAGTACCCTATCTACTTTTAAAACAAATACATATAACATATCATAACTTTACACATCAGTTATTTGTTGCATAAAACATGACTGATTCAGACCGTCAAATTTACAATACAAAGTGGCTCTATTTATACAATACTAAAACTGAATAAACCACAGTCTGTCTTTGTATAACATGTGAATTCAAATTAGTGTGAAATATCTTTACCAGTAGTAGTATTATTGCTTCATATCAGCGTTTACTCCTGATGACTGCTTGGACAAGTCCCTGCAGTTTTCTTGGCAAGACTTTTTTAGAAGTGGTTTACCATTGCTTTCTTCCTGGGGCTGAGACAAGGCGACTGGCCAAAGGTGTCCCAAATGGCGTGATGCCTGGAAGTCACAATTTTCCAGTTTCTGTCCTGATGCCTTAAACATCAAACTGGCTCTCAAATTTTATTATAAACACCATATACTTTAGACAATTAACACTGGAGCAGATCAACTGCTGTTCCACAGTAAATAAAGATGATGACCATTTCCAAAGTCTTGCAGCATAAGAAATTTATGTCTCCTAAAAGAAAGCCCTTGTATGCCATCCTATCATCCTCACCTAATCAGCTGTGAGACACTTTTACATTCCATATTCAGTGAGATGCTATCCATTCAAGAGTGACAAGGTTATATGACAGATACTGTCTGCATGAATAAGGTCATCTGGCTAATTAGAAATATTCCGAATGCTATAGAGAAGGCAGTTGCTACATCAATAAGAAAATCTAAACAGGGGGCAGCCTTCCTTATTTTTGACACTCACTTTGAATTCTGCTTCCTAAGAATTTGGACTCTCTGTTCTAATGGAGCAGCAGTGAATCAGGTTGAGGAATACTGGCATAAACCTTATCAATACTTGGGAATATTCTCCATATTCTTTGGTCAATTTTGAAGGTCAAATGCCCCCATTCCTAAAACCCTGCAGTTTTTATTGCAAGTCTTGAGAATTATTGTTATCAAGAATCATTAGATGCACAATGCATGTGATATGTATTGTCAGAGTGAATATCCTGCACTGAGTCAACCTTGAGCCTGATGAGATTTGAACTGTCAAATTGCAGGTAGCCAGCAGGCAGCAGAAGTAGCATGCAGTACTGCACTCTAACCACTGTGCCCGCACGGCTCCTTAATTATGGCAACCAAAAATGTTGAAACTATTATGATATGTTGATGCATTCAGATGATATTTTGCCTTACGACTATATTTTTTTCATTTTTTTCTCTATTCATTTTGCTTTCACAGTCAGATCCTAAAATTATATTTTAATATCTCTTCTAGTTTTATGCAAGTTGCTAAAAGAAGAATTATTGTGGACATGACTTCCCAACCTGAATAAGCTAAACAGTAAGAGTGTTATACTAATGCAGTAATTGATTTCATTTTATTTATTTATTTTATCATGGGAATATTTATTGTATATGAACTGAAGAATCGATTTTGTTTCTGATAGGATAGAAATTTATTACAAAAATAAACAGTATTTCAGAAGAATAAAGCATAATGGAGGCTTTCCATGAGATCAAGAATCCTACAAAATATCAAAAGTGGTTTTTATTTTTTTTTAAAGCAACTGGACTGATTTTTTTTGAGGACAAAGATGTTTCACTTTCTATGCTGGAAGCTTCATCAGTTGTATTGGATATAAATGATGAAATTTCCAGGACAGGAAGCAAAATGTCTTCTTCCTCCTCAAAAAAATCAGTCCAGTTGCCTTTTCAGAAAATAAAAACTATTTTTGATACAACTGTAACCTGGATGACTGAGAATCTTCACATACAATCCTAGAAAATAAAATAGGCTCTTCAGTATTGAATTCCATTCTTAAGACAAAGAAGGTAAAGGCATTTGTTTATTTTCTTTTTCTAACTGATGAACATCTCTTTCTGTTATGTCTGTGTAAAAAAACAGATTAAAATTGAATACTTCAACTCTTTCGAAAACATTTTTTTACACAGGCTGCTAATACTGTTCCATCCAACTTAGGGATGGTTTCTCTTGAAAGAATATTGTGATTTATATATTTTTCCCTTAAAAAAAACTCTGTAAAAAGCCATTAAGCATGGAAAACTATTATTCTAAAGGACTAGGAACAATTAAAACAACTGAAGCTATAACAATTAGGATTAGATTAGCAGTGGAAAGTGTCAGGCTACCCAATTAGGATTTTGTTTACGCATAGATTTCTCTGTTTTTCCAATCCATTCTGCTTTCTAGTTTCTAATTTTATTGGTAATTGTGGTAAAGTGCACAATAACATTATTGATTCCTTTTATACAAAATAAGAACCATATATTACATTTCATTTTAGAGGATGGGCCTTCAAATTGATTATACATATTTGACTCTGCTGATCCATGCCACATTTCTGTATATTCACATCACAAGTGTTACAGACAATACAAATGCTTAGATTTTGAGCAAATTAAGAAATTAAGCGCCTTAGAAGATATCCCCACATTATTTTTTTTAAAAAATCACATATTTCCCCAAATGCTTTCAGATTATATAGTTCATGGAAAAGTGTATTAACATTAAAGTGGTATTTCTGATAATTACCAGCTTAGAACTTCAAGTCTTTTGGTTAAAGCAGAAATTCTAGAATTATATCAATAGTCTTCTTCATGTCTTTCAAGCATAGCTCAAGGTTAAAGCAGACCAATTTCCATAATATCAGTGTAATGTTGCCTGACTCATTTGGCTCCATCACCATTTAGGTTGTTATATAGTGCAGTCACTCCAGCTTTCAATATGTCTTCAGCATAAATTTTGTTATAGTAGTCCAGTTACTCGTTTGTCAGAACACAAATGAGTAACTGAAATAGGTATTTTGATAAGGTAGTAGCTGGCATTGATGCCCCTACTTCAAGCATCATACTTTCATGCATAGCTCAAAGTTAAGATAGGGTAGCAAATCATAATCTTTTCACAGACAAAGCCCACATTTCAAGAAAAGATGAAATGAAAATGGAAATTGAGGATCAGGTAATATAATCGTATTATTAACATTAATAGTGTGTTAAAGTATATTGTGAATTTAAAATATTAAGGATTGGAAATTGTGGGGATTTTAAGATACAAGTCCAATATTAGACATATAAACTCACTGGGCACTACAACATCTTGCTCAGATTTACTCCGGGATTGATTAAATATTGTTAATATTTGGTGCTATTAATAATCCTACAAATTTGGAACATTGAAATTATGGTGGAATTATGAGCAATTTGTAAAATATTAAATAAGAGTATTTAGTAGAAGATAACAAATACAAGGTGTACAGAAATGTTATTTATGTTTAAATGAATTAGTGGGGAGAATGATAAAGGATTATATAAAAGAGACTAGTATTGTTAAAGTTGGAAGATTAGAATTACATATACCTATTTGTATTATTATTGTTAACGTTGTGCAAAACATACTTGACCTAATCAATACACTGTCCACAAAATATGCATGGTGAGAAAAGAAAACTGCAAATAAAACATTTAAAAAAAGACAATGTTTATAGATCTACTAGCTTTTTTGTCCACAATACTTTCAGAATTAAATTACATTGCGTTTATCTCTAGCCATTCACAAACTGTGTCTAGACACCTACTTATATCAGGTACATAAGTTCAAGTCCAATATTAAATATATAAACTCACTGGGCACTAGGACATTCTGCTCAGATTTACAAATTTGCTTTTGTAGGGATGAAATAAAGAGAGATGACCATATGACCTATTTTGAGCTCATAAGGGAAGGCAGGATATGAATATGTCTGAGGAACATATCCATAATGTATGCAAGGTATTGGGATTTTATTTTTCCAGATAGGAGCGCGTCTCCATTCATTTTAGCAGAGAGGTCAGGTTTTATGTACACTTCACTTTATGTCTACTGAAACATCTCTGCTGAAGTGAATGTGAAAATCCCACTTGTGCCATTTAAATTCTGGAGTAGATAATTTATATTTCACATAAGTAGCCCACTAGAATTGTTTGGCAATATCATTTGTGTTTATATCACAATAATAATACCTGCAATACAATAATACAATACAATAGCAGAGTTGGAAGGGACCTTGGAGGTCTTCTAGTCCACCTCCCTGCCTAGGCAGGAAACCCTATACTGTTTCAAACAAATGGCTATCCAACCTCTTCTTAAAGACTTCCAGTGTTGGGGCATTCACAACTTCTGGAGGCAAGTTTAATTGTTCTAACTGTCAGGAAATTTCTCCTCAGTTCTAAGTTGCTTCTCTCCTGGATTAGTTTCCACCCACTGCTTCTTGTTCTACTCTCAGGTGCCTTGGAAAATAGTTTGACTCCCTCTTCTTTGTGGCAACCCCTGAGATATTGGAACACTGCTATCATGTATCCCCTAGTCCTTCTTTCTATTAAACCTGATTGACAATCTTTAATTTCAATTTATTTATTGACACTATCATGTTTTAAATACTCAAGTATATACTGGAATAGCAGGTCAATTTCTATGTAGAAATATGTATGTTGATATCACTTTATTTAAGAACTTCACATTCTATTGCAATCACAAACTAATGTGTGGAGCAGAATATTATAATTTGGAAGATTTAATCCTTTCCCCTCTTTGTGGAGCTCTATGTAAGGGCTTCTTGTTCTGTTTTGTTTGAAACATTCAAGTGTTTGATTGTTTTGACATTCAAGTTCAACCTACATTTTATGAGGATTTATACTAGAAAAATTGGGGGGGGGGAATAGGGAAATCCCTAGATTGATAGTATCAGGTCCCTTTACTTTGGTGCCCTCCAGCCAGCACCACCTTCATTGATGGGAATCTAGAAACTGAAAAGAAGTTACTTTACTTTATTTTTAAAATATTCTTCTGTATTTCCAACCTCAGTTTTGAGGGGGGGGGAATCAAATCAATCAATTTGTTCATACATTATTGCACTATGAGAAATAGGTCTTTCATGGAAAGAAATTAGATTGGAGTCCTTGAATTTAGATAATCCATATACAAGTATCATCTGCCTTTAGAGTATTTAGAGTATTTAGAGTATTTATTAATACTTATAGTCCGCCCTTTTCCCTGAGGGGACTCAGGGCGGCTTACATAAAATGAGGGGAAGGGATATACAAACAGTAACACATACAATACATAAAGTAAAATAATAAGCAACATTCATTCATCATTCGGGTGGGGGAAACCCTTCAAATAGATCTAGTGCAGAGGTGTCAAACTCACGTCATCACATGACATATTGGGACTCCCCCCCCCTTTGCTAAACTGGGCGTGGGCATAGCCAGCACATGACAAATCCAACTCCCGTGGGCTGGGCGTTTGACTGCCCTAGACTAGTGTCTACTAAGGTATTTCATTATTTAATAGTTAAAATAGCTAGGCTAATGCAAATAAGTGTTTGACAAAAGAAGACAATTCTGAGTGTTCTAAGTTTTTAAATGCTAAATTATTGGCATTTGGGAAGGAAGCTATCTTTTTCACCAACAGAAAATTAGCTACCGGAAGCTGACAACAAAGGAAGTTATAAATGTGCTGAGAAAGATAGCATTGATCTTTCAGTCAAAGTACTATAATCAAACTGGATGGAAAAATAGAGAAATGTCATTCTGTTGTAAATAAAGTGTGGTCTATATCTCTGTTAAGTGATTGTCAAAATAGATCTTAAGATCTTAAGACAAATATCATCTCCCATTTGATTTTATCAATTAGTATTTACCATTTCACCCTTATAAAAATGTTTTAAAAATTAATGCAGAAAGGGATTTCCAACAATCATTCATATAAAATAAAACAAAACAAAGAGTAGATATTATCTGATGATCTGGTGCTATATTTTGTCATTGTAATTTAATATCAATGAAAAATGAGTTAAAATTAGATTGAAAAAACAGCATATTTAATTATCTTTTTCTCCTATAAGATGCTATATGCACAATAAATCACAGTTTTGATACTTAACATCAAGGTTGAACAAAACATACAAAAGTGATTTTTTTTGCAAAGAATAATAGCAAAAGCAAAACACTCTCTTTAAAGTATTAAAGCAGCTGCATCCTCTGCAAAGTTAATACAGTTGCTTACAAGAGTGCATCCAGCTGCTTGAACAGTTGTTTATTACATTTTGAAGCTGCTTTACTCCAAAAAGATTAAGGACAACTTATAATTTAAAAAAAATATATAATATGAAAAGAAAAGCATGAATACTCAAGAGATACATTAATAATATTTCAAAAAATAGCAATATAGCAATAGCAGTAGACTTATATACCGCTTCATAGGCCTTTCAGGCCTCTCTAAGCGGTTTACAGAGAGTCAGCATATTGCCCCCAACAATCTGGGTCCTCATTTTACCCACCTCGGAAGGATGGAAGGCTGAGTCAACCCTGAGCCGGTGAGATTTGAACCGCTGACCTGCTGATCTAGCAGTAGCCTGCAGTGCTGCTTTTAACCACTGCGCCACTAAGAGCTACACAAACCACTTCATCCTGGGCCTGGGAACAGAGACATAGATAACAATACCACTGGGACCACCAACAAATGAATTGTGCATGTCCTCACAACAGCCAGCGGCAACATTTAAGGCTGCCTTGTACACTTTCCAAAGAATCCAGATATTTCAACTTTTCAAGAAGGTTGCATCATTCATTCTAACGTGCTTCACAAGCATTCTTTCCAAATACTTTGCTCAATCCTATCATATACCTACCCTTATGTGTGCCTTTAAATGATCCCAACAAATCCAATGAATCTGGCTTCCAAATGTTGCATAATTGCAGTGTCCATTGTTCATACACTTATACTCCAATGAATTTGGTCTATTATTTATATTTATTTATGTGACATCATTGCTCAACATACTTTTAAATAACAGAGGAAACAGCAACATGCCTAGAAACATGTAACAAAATTCTGACAATTGGGAAACTAAAAAGGTAGAGAAACAAATCAGAGAAATAAATAAAAAGAAATTGTGAGATAGGATCAGGAATGGGACACGCTTGCCTTGTTGTTATTATTAAACTTGTATGCTACCGGATTCATAATGACTCTGACTCTGGATCACTCACCACAATCAAAACAAAGAAATTGTAATAAAATCAAAAAAGGAAGATTATTATTTTTTTTTTTAAAAAAAGAACAACAGACTGAAACAGAATGAAGCAAAAATCTGGGTTAAAGAGCAGACTGCTTGGGACTGCTTGCAAAAAAAATTGGTTTGAAGGTCATGTTTCATTTCTGCATGGTTTGTGTGTGTGTGTTGTGTGTGTGTGTTTGGTTGGCCCTCACAACCACTGACCTAATGTGGGAATCTTCGGTGTCAAGGGGGAAGCTGGCAAACCTTTTTTAGGCTTTCTTATTTTTCTTATAGGGAAATGGAGGTGGGGAATTATACACAGTCCTTGTGCACAGAATTAAGTAGATTTTGCACTGTTTCAATAGCTAGATGTCTATGGAGATTCTTAGTCATCCAGGTCATGGTTGTACCAAAGGTGCTTTTTCAAGAGGCAACTGAACTTTCTGGTTTTTCTTTGAAGACATTTCACTTTTCATCCAAGAAGCTTCTTCAGCTCTGAAGATGGAATAATAGCTTGAGGTTTTCCAATAACACCTGCCCAGTTTCCAATATAAACTATATGAGCAGTTTATTCATTTTTTTATTCATTCATTCAATTTCTACAGTGCCCCATCTCAGTCAACGACTCTAGGTGGTTCAGCTGCCTTATATGTCATTCCCAATTCTACTGCTGCTTCTGAATATCTCTAAAACAGATGTAATCTACTGACCTTAGCAGCTGTGCATGATGGGATATGTGGTTACTAGAATAGAAAAGACTATTTGTGAGATAATTGGGGATGGGAGGAGATGGGGAGAAAGCCAGGGACAACTGGGTCACAAATACTGATAGGTACCAGAAAAAAAAGATAGGTTACTGAGTATTAAATTAAGGTTTAACTTCTTTTTTTTTTTTTACAATGGATTCATTTAAAGTCTATACACAGCTTGATAATTATACTCTTCACACTCTTGATCATGATCTGGCTGGCCTCAAACGTGTCTTAACTTTGTCCTGAGCCACAAAAGGACATCTGATTATTATCTCCCTGTTCAGCTTCTTTTGTGAGTTTTGATTTAACACTCATATCAGGATAAAAATGTCATGACTGTTCAAATCCATTTTTCATACTCCTTTTTTCCCCCCTTTCTTGTAGAAATTGACTTTTAGCAAGGCTTTAATTACACCTTACATTGCTTCTCCTCCCGCCTCCCGCCTGACATGATGAAAAGAAAGGAATATTCTACATCGCAGACTGTTCAGAACTGCCGAGACAGGATTTAGATAGCCAATGCTTCTAATTTTCCACATATATTTCAGGAATTCCAAAAAGGAAGAGCATTGCAATAAAATGTACTTACTCAATTGTGTTCCTGTCCACTTTTCCTGTCATGTTAATGCCATAGAACTGCTGCATGGCAGCTATAGCAGATTTCATTGTCTCCGCAGTGCGCAACACGGACATTCTGGAGTCAGAAGATGGAAGATAGCCGTATTTTTGTAACCACACCTACAACAACAAGCAAAATGTGCATTAGGCAGTATTTAAGGTCCAGGATTTCCTAATCATTCATCTTCTACTTCAAACATTGAAAAGACCATTTCAAGTTTGTTTAAATCCTTTTACAATGGAGGAAAACTAAAAATGCATTTAGGTGCTTCTTTTCAAATAATTTATCTGGGGTACATGCGCTAAAATAATATACAGGTTAATTCTAGACATACAACAGTTCGTTTAGTGACTGTTCAAAGTTACAATGGCATTGAAAACAGTAACTTATAACCATTTTTCACACTTATGACCATTGTAGCATCCCCATGGTCACGTGATTTACATTCAGATGCTTGACAACTGAATCACATGTATGAGTGTTCCTGGGGTTATGTGATTCCCTTTTGCAACCTTCAATGGGGAAGCCAGATTCACTTAACAACTGTGTTACTAATTTAACAACTGCAGTGATTCACTTAACAAATGTGGCAAGAAAAATCGTAAAATGGGGGAAAGCTCACTTAACAATATAAATTTTGGGCTCAATTGTGGTTGTAAATTGAGGACTGCCTGTATTGCATTCACGGATATACACATTTATGCATTTTTTTAAAATATAAGAAATATTATACAGAAATATTACTTGGTACTGTGGGCAGGGTGTCATGTTCCTGTATTAATTCCTATATTTTTTTAAGTATGAAAAATAATTCTAATGCAGGTTGTTTTACGACCATAATTGAGCCCCAAATTTTCTGTTAAGTGAATTTCAAAACATTTGTTAAGTGAATTTTATGATCTTTCTTGTTAAGTGAATGATTGCATTTGTTAAGTTATCAACACAATTGTTAAGTGCATCTGGATTCCCCATTGACTTTGCTTGTAAGAAATTCACAAAAAGTGATGACATGACCTGCGGTCACTGCAACCATCATAAATATGAGTCAGTCACCAAGATCAAATCATTCATTTTCTGTGCCATTGTTATTTTTAATGGACACTAAAGGAAACGTTGTAAGTCATGGACTACCTGAAGTGGTGGGGTCCTGCCGGTTTAACAACCGGTTCAACGATTGTTTGTTGTGACGCATACTGTGCGCATGTGCGCATTTTTAGCAAAACTTCCACGTTACATCTGGGGAGTAACACAGCTGAGGTGCGGCAATCAGCTTCACCATGTGAATCAGATGAGAGGATAAAGGTAAGTAAAGCGCAGGGGCAGGTGGGCGGGCTGACCTGATCATTGGAGCAAACCGCTTTGCTCCCAGCTGATCATCGGAGCTACCGGTTCGCCTAAACCACTCCGAACCAGCTGAATCCTACCCCTGACTACCTGTATTACCATTCAGCATCTCAGGCAGCTAGTATTACCATTCACTATTAATAAGCCAGCTGAAGCCTTCTCTCCCTCATTTCTAACTGCTATAATTATCTTCTCTAAATACAGCATCGTGCGAGTTTCCTGGTTGTGAGGCACCTTGTAGGTAAAGAATGGCTGCTGCTACAAAGACATTGTCTTTTAAAAATGCCCCTGACAGAAGTTCTCTGGAAAACTAAAAAAAGATAGCTACTGTTAGGAGCACAGAAAGCCATTGGTCCTGCCTCCAGGCCTCCAAACACAGGCTTAGAAGAAAAGCTTTAGTATGAAAGGATGTGCTTGCTCAGTGATTTGCTCATTTTAACCTTTAATCTTTGCTCAAGAATTTGCATGGAATTCGCAAATTACAGAATTGTTATACCAAGTAAGACACAAAACACAGTTAAGAACTATGTTAATATATTTTTCCCATTTTTAAAAAAATAAGTAAAAATAATTTTACCCAAATATCCGAAATGAATTGAGCCTGTTTTACTAAAGAAAGACTCTAACCTAGTTATGCTACAAAATTGGCACAGTTCCCTTCATGGCACTTCAGGTGAACATTTATACAGGTGAAAAATAAGAAGCAATGAAAAGGCTTTGGTAGCAGGAAAGCACATTGGACTAAGCTGCTATTGGATGTTCAGGAAATGTGCTCATCATTCCTGATCTATAGATTAACAGAGTTGGAAGGGACCTTGTAAGTCATCTAGTCCAACCCTCCACCCAAGCAGGGCACCATTTCTGACAAATGGCAGTTCAATCTCTTCTTGAAAGCCACCATTGATGAAGTTCCCACAACTTCGGAAGACAAGCTGTTCAATTGGTTGATTGTTTCCACTGTCTACCATTGTTTCTTTTGAACCTGAAACCCAGCTTCCAAACCTTGAATACCTTCTTCAATCTTAAGTCCATGTGGATGGATTCAGGAGTCAGGGATTTCTTCTGAAGAGGCTATGCTACATGGAAATTAATGACCCCCAGATGAACTTGTTATCTGTTATTTTGGCAGGCAGGTCTTCAGCAGGAAGCTAACTGAAGCTGTTCCACAATTTTTTGAGATTCCTATCTGTAGTTTCAATTGGCAGGATCCCTGTAGTTCAGTCTAGATTATTCCTAGTAATTATTCTCTTGGATTTCCCAATATTGTTCCAGTTGTTTTCCATTTCATTCTCAACTACTCCAAATGTTGCCTGACTGTGACAATTGTGTTTTATATCGACCTCTTCAGAGCAAGGAAAGCTCTGTCTATCTTTGCGCATCACATCAAATGCATGACATGTGTAAGCAAAGTTTATTCTCAAAGCAAACATGTCACATCAAACTAACAGATGATTTAAAATTGTGTCCTGAAATATTCAATTATAAATTTCCATGGAAACACCTTCTAACTATTATGTTAAAATCTTTATGAATTCTTTGTCTCCCTTTCTTACTCTTTTCTTATCCATATTGTGAAATAATGGTTCCCCAATTCAGAACAACCCAGGTCTGAGGTCATTCTTGGTTTAGACAAAATGAACTACAGTTAATTGAAGATTTAACTGATGAGAATGGATGTATGTACAATCAGAAGGCCAATTTATATTTTAATTTAATATAATTTCCCAATAGCGGCAACTGCATTGGTTCAGTAATTTTGAACGCTATTCAAAATTAGCATTCAAGATTTATTGCAAAGTTTTTTTAAATATCCCACTAATACGTCATTAGGCTACAGGTTGAATGGGAATCAATGGCTGGAACCTGACATTACTAATATAATAATTGTATATTATTCCCTAATTTGCTTTTTAACCATTCAACAAATTTGACTGACTATTCAAGAATCTTGTAAGGAATTCCTTTGGTTAGAATACAAGTCCTGAAAATTGAATCCTTACTAAAGTTTCTTGAACATAGAATAGCTATGCAGGACTACTTTATACAAATAAAATAACATTTTACATATTTGAAAAAATTTACATTGCTTTTACATACATTTGTTCTTTTGTATTTTACATTCTATGCTATAATATTTTTTAAAAAATTGTACTTATCCTGTTTTTATTATTTTGGACTGTGAGTCACCCAGAATTATTTCTTAAAATAAGCCGACTGTATAAATTTCTTAAACATAAATTAATAATCCATACAGCTAAGCAGTTGTATAAATTTCTCTATCATGTTGACAACTGCCTAGGCAGTTGCTTTCTTGCAAGATTTTTTCAGAAGTGGTTTCCCATTGCTTTCCTAGGGCTGAGAAACTGCTCCAAGGTTACCCAAATGACTTCTTTTGTAAGGAAGGCCTAGAACTGGTGTCCTGGTTTCTAGACTGATACCTTAACCACTATACCAAACTGGCTCTCTCTCATGTCAGTCTTGGGTAATGGAATGGAATGGAGCTGGTGTGTCCAGTCCATGGCTCATGGGCCCTATGTGGTCCTGGACAGTAAGTAATGCAGACACACACACACACACACACACACACACGTTGCATTTTTGCTGATAAATAAATGAAGGGAGACTAGTATAGATCTATTTAGCTCTGATCAGCTAGCCATACACTTGCTGGGATTCAAACTTGGGCTGTTTTTTACATATTTGGCACTTGTATCAACCTCTAAGCCACAAGCTGTCCTCCCTTTTCAGCTGAGCCAGGGGAATGATTAAGTGGTGTTTTTTTTTTGTTGTTGTTTTGTGTATGTGGGTGTGTGCGCGTGGGTGTGGGTGTTTTTGTAGATTTTCACGGGTGTAGGTATGCTGGTCTTGTTGTATTCAGGTCTTTTCCCATGTAAGATTGAGATTGTCTTGGCAACCTTTCAGTGAGGTCTCACTCGCCATTTTCAGACTGGTTTTGGGCTTAAAGTGTGATCGGAGCTGCCGTCTTTCTATAAATCTTGGTGGGTACGTGTGTGTGGAGTGCTGGCTTTGTTTCAGTAAGTGGAATGATTGGTTGTGTGGTTGTATCATGATATTGTGTTTGTG